TGCTTTCAAGTTTTTCGTCAGCCTCTTCTTAGCTACAACTGGGACTGCCACCTCAGGCGGCTGCAATGTTAAACAAATCCCACCAACAATTTCAACAAATGCTCCATGGGTAGAGTTTTTCCTCAAAGAACAAAGTAACAGGTCAAATAAAGACAGGACAGGCCCTGATCATGGAGGTTTACAGCAAGCTGGTCAAATAGTGATAATTCTCTGGAAACAGGGCATTGGAAGAGTTCCAAAGCCATTATGACCCCTCCAGTTGCTACTAAGCTGTTGGTTTTCACAGTTACTGTAGCCGTGGGACTGTAAGTTTTCCAAGCGACTGTATAGCTTGGAAGTAGCAGGGGATGAAATCAGGGATCACATACATGGCTTGCTGTTCTGAGAGTCAGCCATTTTTCTCAAACAACAATTTTCAGATTGATGAAGGACTTTAACTTCTAGAATTCTGACAAAGTTGATTTTGACAGCTTTTGCCAGTGTTTTCACTGTTTTTAAGGAGGAAAAAATTTTTTAAAACCTTACTCTTTCTAAAAACAGAAATCCTACATGAGTTCTTAAACCAACTTCTCAAACCTGTTTTTTCACACACTATATCAATATATTCCATATCAAAAAAAATGTATTTCTACAGCAATCACTTTATTTCCGTAATAATCACTTATTCATCCAGTTTCACTCCTACTGCTGAATCTTTAGTTTGCTCCCAGTTTTTTACAATTAAAAAGAAAGCCAGAAAAGATAACCCTCAAAATGGGAGAAAACAATAAGGAAATGAAACAACTAACAAAGGATTAATTTCCAAAATACACAAGCCGCTCATGCAACTCAATACTATAAAAAAAAAACAACCAATCAAAAAGTGGGAAAAAGACCTAAACAGACATTTTTCCAAAGAAGACAAACAGACAGCTAATAAACACATAAAAAGATGATCAACACTGCTCATTATCAGAGAAATGCAAATCAAAACTACAATGAGATATCACCTCACACAGGTCAGAATGGCCATCATCAAAAAATCTACAAACAATAAATGATGGAAACGGTATGGAGGAAAGGGGACCCTCTTGCTTTGTTGGTGGGAATGTAAAGTGGTTCAGCCACTATGGAGAACAGTGTGGAGATTCCTTAAAATACCAGGAATAAAACTACCACATGAGCCGACAATCCAACTACTGGGCACATACCCTGAGAAACCCATAACTGAAAAAGACATATGTACCCCAATGTTCGCTGCAGCACTAAATGCAACAGCTAGGCCATGGACGCAACCTAGATGGCCACCAACAGATGAACGGATAAAGCTAGCTTTGGTATATGCATACACAATGGAATATCACTCAGCCATAAAAAGGAATGCATCTGAGTCAAGTTCTAATGAGGTGGATGAATGCAGAGCCTATTATACAGAGGGAAGTAAGTCAGAAAGAGAAAAACAAGTATCATATACTATCACACATATATGGAATCTGGAAAGATGGTACTGACGAACCTGTCTGCATGGCAGCAGTAGAGACGCAGATCAGAGAAGAGACGGGTGGACATGGCGGGGGAAGGACTGGGTGGGACGGATGGAGAGAGAGGCATGGAAACATATGCACGACCATGTGTAAACAGAGAGCCAGCCGGAGTCTGAGGTATGACTCAGGGAACTGACACTGGGGCTCTGTGACGACCTGCACGAGTGGGATGGGGTGAGAGGTGGGAGCGAGATTCGAGAGGGAGCCGTGTACGTACCTATGGCTGATTCATGTTGATGTTTAGCAAAAAGCAAAATGACACTGTAAAGCACTTATCCTTTGATTAAAAAATAAATAAAAATATTAGGGGGAAAAAAAAAGCTGATCTGAACAGCCTCAAAACTAAATATTTGAATTTATTCTTTTTCTCCTTAGAATATGTACATCATAAAGGCTTGTGATATATAATGTCCAAAAGCCTACCATGGGTGATGGATGCATGAACTATACTCACTGAAGGTCACTATGTGAGAACATCTAATTGTTTTACCAGGCTTTCATGCCACTTGGCACTTTTATTGCATTTGAGAGCTACTGATAAATCTCTTTCTTAAACCCTCCCTTCTGTTGCAGTATGACATAACTTAAATGGTTTCTTCTCTCTTCTTTTCTGACTGCTCTCTTCTTATCCCCAAAATTCAATTTTGTAAAGTTCAGGCCTCAGGTTAACCCTTTACTTCAGGGTAGCCATATAACTCAGAGACTTCAACTTCTAATACTATCTCAGACTCTAAACTATGTAATCCTAACACGGATAATAACTTTCTTGCACAACTCTTCATTGGAATAAAACTCTACTTAGATGTTTCACCATCAAATTTGGCAAGTACCAAATATATCAATGTTTCCTAAAATCGAGAAGCTAAATGAGCCAAAAATGGGGGAGCACAAAAAGCATAATGGAAAATACAGCTTAGAATACTACAGAGGAGTAAATTTTAAAAATCTATGTAAGAGTTAAAAAAAAAAAACAAACAGCAATTTTTCAAGAATTAGTCCCCAAGGGAAAAACTAAAAGTTTAACTCAAATAGGAAAGAAGCAAACGGCAGAGCCAAGATTCAGATGGCCTAAATCACCGATCCAATTCAAGGAAAAGTCAGAGGTGCAACAGGGTGGTCAGCCAACATACTGCATGAGGGAAAAGCCTCAGCAGTCAGAATGGACTAGTGAGACTGCCTAAGAAAACACAGCACTGCTCCAAAGGCCTCCTTCTCCCTCATCAGTTCACAAAGGCGAATGATGAGGGCAACACTTATTCCCTTGCCCTCTTTCTCTCCCTGGACCTGGAATGAAGCACCTCCAAGCTAAGGCCTATAGTCTGCTCTTACAGACAAGAGAACAGCTGTGTCCAGAGAACACCCATTCTCCTAAACATCATACAAACGTTCCAAAGACTACAGTTACTGTCAGCTCAACTGCCACATTTTCTGGTTTACCACTGCCTAAAATATGACACTGGGACGCAGAAGGCATGGCTCTGTGACAAAAATCATCTTGAATTAACAAGAGAGGTTTTCACAAAGTTAACGGATGATTCCAAGTTTTTACTTGAGAGGTTTATGCAAATCAATTAAACTTACCCTCCTAAAAAAAGCAATAATGAATACAACTAATGATGATAATAACAAAGAACCATTTGGAAAATAGTTATCAGAGGAGGTTTTTAAAACATTAATCAAAATGCTAATAATGGTGGGGAAAATCAAAAGAATGCCTGTAGGCAGGGAGGAGGCAGGCATTTTATGCAAAGGAACACGACGGAATTGTAGTTGTGTTCCGTATCTTGAGAGAGGTTTTTAAGTTGCACAAGTATGTGTATTTGTTGGATCTTATGGAATGGTTAAGATATGTGTGCTTCACAGCATACAAATTTTATGTCCAAGAACAAAAGGAGAACTATAAATAAATGTTAACAATACACACACTGAAATTTTTAGGAGAAATGTCCTGGTATCTGCAACTCACTTTGAAATACATTTTTAAAAGATGAATTTATAGGAAGATGGATAATTATATGACACAACAAATAAAGTAAAATTATTAACTATTTAGAGTCTTGCAGCAAGCATATGTGTGTTCCCTGGAAAACCTCTCTCAAGGTTTGAAAATTTCATTAAAATATTGACAAATAACTAAGCCTGCTGCAAAAATTAGAGCTCTTTAAAAAAAATTAACAGAACAAAATCATGTCAGGTGGGTAAGGAGTAAACTTACGAATTATTTTAGTTTATCAGAGATATTTTGTTGACCACTGTGGTTACTGGTCAAATGGTCAGTGATTAGACATCAGTGGCTCAATGGTCATAAACCTGAGCAAACTCCAGGAGACAGTGGGGACAGAAGAGCCTGTGTGCTGCAGCCCACGGGGCCACAAAGGATTGGACATGACTTAAGTGACTGAAAAACAGCACAGTCAATGAACTGAAAACGAGAAAAGCACCAAAGATTCCCCGCATCTTTTCATGTACAAAGATTCAATTTTGATTTCTAATAGTTTTCTTTTCAGATCCAGACCAAATTAGGCACACAACAAATATGAATATCAAGTGGGGACACAACTATAAAGTTGTACAAATCTAAAATACTCCCTCCACTTATCATAACTTCATCATGCATATTTGAAGAGTCTTCAAAATCTCAAGTAATAATTACATCTCTCTTGACTGGGCACTCTAATCATTTCCTATTTTCTCTGTTGCCCACACTCCATGTAACCCCTTCAGCAAATCCTGTTGACTCCAGCATCGAAACATGCCTGGAACGTGATCATTTCCCACTGCGTCCCCCATCTCACTCAGTTACAGAAGAAGTCTCCTCATCTTTCTACCCTGCACCTCCTCAGTCTATTCTCAACACAAGAGCCAGAGTAATTCTGCTGAAGTTTGACTCAGATCATGTCTCTCCACCACGCGGAACCGTCCGAAGGCCCCCACCTCACTCAGAGTCTAAGCCCCTCACCGCAGCCTGCAAGGCCCTGTGAGCTCGGGCCCCCTGACCTTCTTCCCCGTCACACAGACCTTCCTGCTCTTCCCTGAACATGCCAAACATTCCTCTGCCTCAGAACGTCTGAGGCCCACGTTTCCTCTGCTGAGAAGGCTCTTTCCCAGGACATCCACGTGGCATTTTCTCTCATCTTTGTCAGGGGCCTCCTTAAATGATACCTTCTCCGTGAAGAAGTCTCTAGCCAATTTCTTTAAACTCTAGTCTACCCAACCTACTCATTCTCTATCCCTCTTTTTTGCTATCATTTTTTCCATAACATATCTTACCATCCCCAAACACAACCAGTTTCACTTACTTACACCCTGCTTATTATCTGTCACCGCCCATGGTGTAAAGCTTCCCAGAACATGTACTTGTGTCTACTTATCACCACTGTACCCCTGGAACCTAAAGCAGCACCTGTCACGGCGTGAGCGCTCGGTAAACACGCTGACTGGGAGGGTGGGTGGGCTCTCCACCCGTGTGCAGCCTACCTGGTGGTGGTGGTCTTCCCCTCCATCTTCTGACTGTTCCAGACTTTCACTGTGCCATCGTTGGAACACGTGGCAAACAGCGAATGCTCGTCAGAGACTCTGATCCGATTCACAGCAGACTTGTGCTCGTGAAGATGTGCCACAAGGAGCCCCTTAGGTCGCCACCCTGAGGAAAACCAAGAGTGAATCCTAAGTTTCAGTTTATAAATGCAGTCTTCCCTTTATGCCCAACTACAAGCATCAACAGCCAACTCAACAGTCCACAAGAACTGAAGAAAGGGTCCCAACAGCTATTCAATCCTGAGTGGCCTACTGGACCACATCAGATACTGCTGCCTATGGAGGGAGACATCCTTCCGAACAGCCTTAGAAAGACTACCCTACGGCTTTCTCCAGCATCTGAGAGGGCCCACCACTCACCTGCTACCAGGAAAACCCTGACTACTGGCTCAACAGCAAGACGCAATGACTACCCTGATGCAGAGAAACAGGGCACTAGGGAGACAGCCCACTCCAAAAGCCTCAAAGACCCAGACCTATCACACCACAGTGCGACCTTGGGGTACTTATTTAAATTCTGTGGTTTCATTTCCTCAAACATAAAATTGGGGGAAATTACTCAACCCACACGATGACTGTGTGGGTAAATGAGATATAAAGAGTCTAACACTGCCCCAGGCCCACAGTAAAACCCAAATGTGGATTTCTTCTCTACCTGTAATCATTTATCCTATGACGTCAACAGACTGGTATAAACAGGATTATAAATTAGGCTGAGAACGTCCAAGGATATTCTAGTACGTTATGACATCTATACACTTTGTTCATGTATATTCTTTTCATGAATAATTAATGTCCTGTAATAAATAACAAAATCCCTGAGGCCAGAGACTATGTTTTATCCATCCTGTATCATTCACAATATCCAGCATACGTCTTTATATGTGGCATAACATTTAATATTATTTAATATTAATCAATTTTAAAATAAAACCTAGAGGGTGGGATGGGGTGTAAGGTGGGAGGGAGATTCAGAAAGGAGAGGACATACATATGATGTTCAGTTGCTCAGTCGTGTCCAACTCTTTTGCGACCCCATGGACTGCAGCATGCCAGGCCTCCTAACCATCAGCAACTCCCAGAGCTTGCAAAAACTCATGTACATTGAGTCAGAGATGCATCCAAACATCTCATCCTCTCTTGTCCCTTCTCTTCCTGCCTTCAATCTTTCCCAGCATCAAGGTCTTTTCTAATGAGTTGGCTCTTCCCATCAGGTGGCCAAAGTATAGCAGCTTCAGCTTTAGCATCAGCATCAGTCCTTCCAATGAACACCCAGAACTGATCTCCTTTAGGATGGACTGGTTGGATCTCCTTGCAGTCCGAGGGACTCTCGAGTCTTCTCCAACACCACAGTTCAAAAGCATCAGTTCTTCAGAGTCCAGCCTTCACTATGGTCATCTCTGACACCCAGGAATGACCACGGGAAAACCACAGCTTTAACTAGACGGACCTCTGTTGGCAAAGTAATGTCCCTACTTTTTAATATGCTGTCTACGTTTGGCATAGCTTTCTTCCAAGGAGCAAGTGTCTTTAAATTCCATGGCCACAGTCACCATCAGCAGTGATTCTGGAGCCCAAGAAAATAAAGTACGTCACTGTTTCCACAGTTTCCGCATGTATCTGCCATGAAGTGATGGGACTGGATGCCATGATCTTAGTTTTCTGAATGTTGAGCTTTAAGCGAACTTTTTCACTCTCCTCTTTCACTTTCATCAGGAGTCTCTTTAGTTCCTCTTCACTCTCTGCCATAAGGGTGGTGTCATCTGCATACCTGAGGTTTACTGATGTTTCTCCCGGCAATCTTGATTCCAGCTTGTGCTTCTTTCAGTCCAGCGTTTCTCATGATGTACTCTGCATGTAAGTTAAAGAAGCAAGGTGATAATATACAGCTTTGACGTACTCCTTTTCCTATTTGGAACCAGTCTGTTGTTCCATGTCCAGTTCTAACTGTTGCTTCTTGACCTGCATACAGTTTCTCAAGAAGCAGGTCAGGAGATCTGGTATTCCCAACTCTTTCAGAATTTTCCAGTTTATTGTGATCCACACAGTCGAAGGTTTTGGCATAGTCAATAAAGCAGAAATAGACATTTTTCTGGAACTCTTGCTTTTTCGATGATCCAACAGATGTTGGCAATTTGATCTTTGGTTCCTCTGCCTTTTCTAAACCAGCTTGAATACCTGGAAGTTCACGGTTCACGTACTGCTGAAGCCTGGCTTGGAGAATTTTGAGCATTGCTTTACTAGCATGTGAGATGAGTGCAATTGTGCAGCAGTTTGCGCATTCTTTGGCATTGCCTTTCTTAGGGATTGGAATGAAAACCGACCTTTTCCATTCCTGTGGCCACTGCTGAGTTTTCCAAATTTGCTGGCACGTTGAGTGCAGCGCTTTCACAGCATCATCTTTCAGGATTTGAAATAGCTCACCTGGAACTCCATCACCTTCACTAGCTTTGTTTGTGGTGATGCTTCCTGAGGCCCACTTGACTTCACATTCCAGGATGTCTGGCTCTAGGTGAGTGATCACACCATTGTGATTATTTTTTGTATAGTTCTTCTGTGTATTCTTGCCACCTCTTCTTAATATCTTCTGCTTCTGTTAGGTCCATACCACTTCTGTCCTTTATTGAGCCCACCTTTGCCTGAAATGTTCCCTTGGTATCTCTACTTTTCTTGAAGAGATCTCTAGTCTCTCCTATTCTATTTTTTCCTCTATGTCTTTGCATTGATCGCTGAGGAAGGCTTTCTTATCTCTCCTTGCTATTCTTTGGAACTCTGCATTCAGATGGGAATATCTTTCCTTTTCTCCTTTGCTTTTTGCTTCTCTTCTTTTCACAGTAAGGCCTCCCTCAGACAGCCATTTTGCCTTTTTGCATTTCTTTTTCTTGGAGATGGTCTTGATTCCTGTCTCCTGTACAATGTCACGAACCTCCGTCCATAGTTCATCAGGCTCTCTGCTTATCAGATCTAGTCCCTTAAATCTATTTCTCACTTCTAGTGTATAATCATAAGGGATTTGATTTAGGCCATACCTGAATGGTCTGGTGGTTTTCCCCACTTTCTTCAATTTAGTGGTTTTCCCCACTTTCTTCAATTTAAGTCTGAATTTGGCAATAAGGAGTTCATGATCTGAGCCACACTCAGCTCCTGGTCTTGTTTTTGCTGACTGTATAGAGCTTCTCCATCTTTAGCTGCAAAGAATATAATCAATCTGATTTTGGTGTTGGCCATCTGGTGATGTCCATATGTAGAGTCTTCTCTTGTGTTGTTGGGAGAGGGTGTTTACTATGACCAGTGTGTTCTCTTGGCAAAACTCTATTAGCCTTTGCCCTGCTTCATTCTGTACTCCAAGGCCAAATTTGCCTGTTATTCCAGGTGTTTCTTGACTTCCTACTTTTGCATTCCAGTCCCCTATAATGAATGAAGGTCTTGTAAGTCTTCGTAGAACCATTCAACTTCAGCTTCTCCAGCATTACTGATTGGGGCTTAGGCTTGAATTACCGTGATATTGAATGGTATGCCTTGGAAACAAACAGAGATCATTCTGTCACTTTTGAGACTGGATCCAACTACTGCATTTTGGACTCTTTTTGTGACCATGATGGCTACTCCATTTCTTCTAAGCAATTCCTGCCCACAGTAGTAGATATAATGGTTATCTGAGTTAAATTCACCCATTCCAGTCCATCGTAGTTTGCAGATTCCTAGAATGTTGATGTTCACTCTTGCCATCTCCTGTTTGACCACTTCCAATTTGCCTTGATTCATGGACCTAACATTCCAGGTTCCTAGGCAGTACTGCTCTTTACAACATCAGGCCTTGCTTCCATCACCAGTCACATCCACATCTGGGTGCTGTTTCTGCTTTGGCTCCGTCCCTTCATTCTTTCTGGAGTCGTTTCTCCACTGATCTCCAGTAGCATACTGACTCTGAGGGCTACTCCATTTCATCATCTCAGGGGTTCTTACCCACAGTAGTAGATGTAATGGTCATCTGAGTTAAATACACCCACTCTGGTCCATAGTAGTTGTCTGATTCCTAAAATGTCGATGTTCACTCTTGCCATCACCTGTTTGACCATTTCCAGTTTACCCTGATTCAAGGACCTAACATTCCAGGTTCCTATGCAATGTTGTTCTTTACAGCGCCAGTCACATCCACAACTGGGAGCTGTTTCCGTGTTGGCTTATCCTCTTAATTCTTTCTGGAATTACTTCTCCACTCTTCTCCCATAGCATACTGGGCACCTACCAACCTGGGGAGCTCATCTTTCAGTGGCATATCTTTTTGTACCCAGAAGTCAATACAGTAATGTAAAGCAATCATCCTCCAATTAAAAATAAATAATTTTCTTAAAAAGCTATGCTGAAGGATCTATGCCTGCTAAGCAACAATGTCACCTTAAAATCAACTTATTTCTTTTACCAAGAAACAAACCTGAAACCAAGACCATTGCCAAACCTGGCACATTCAACAGAAAAATACCATTCCCCTTGCATCTGTAGGCCACACGTGTGGAAAGAACAGCTGAATGTGATTTCCAAGTTGGATATGCTGGATTTGAGAATACTCAAAAATACTCTGCTGTGAAGTCTAGGTAATAGAGCAGGCTAGGTTGAACATTTCGCCCAAGAGAAAATCAATTTCACAAAACCACTCAAGTGTGGAAAGAAAAAATGTAAGTCCAACAGCCATTGTACATTTCGTGAACCATAAAATCTGACACCTTTTCTGGGATTACTGAATAAAACATATAGCTTCACTAAGTATAAAATGCCACTTGTAAAGACAGATTCTATAATAAAATAGACAGTGTGTGACCAACATTTTTTGTCTTTAAAGCAGGGCTGATAAATCATATTGAACTGTACTGTAGAAACTTAAACATTCCAGGGTGTTTATTTTCTTTAAACAAAAAAAATTTATGTGACTAAAGATACCACTTAGTAATATTTCTGAAATCTTTCAGTCATGGCTCTCCACTGGCATTTTTCCTACATTCACAATGGAAGCCTGTGGGAACTCTTGTGGTTTTTCAACCTCTACCCAACACTTTGGCCACCTGATGCGAAGAACTGACTCATTTGAAAAGACCCTGATGCTAGCAAAGATTGAGGGCGGGAGGAGAAGGGGACGACAGAAGATGAGATGGTTGGATGGCGTCACCAACTCGATGGACATGAGTTTGAGTAAGCTCCGGGAGTTGGTGATGGACAGGGAGGCCTGGCGTGCTGCGGTCCATGGGGTCGCAGAGTAAGAGACGACTGAGCGACTGAACTGACTGACCCATAAGCGTATATTTCTTCTCAGTTTTCAAGTTACAAATTTATTATTAAAATCTATATAGAAACTCATTAAAAATGTTTTTAAAAATCTGACAATCCGGTACCAGAGACAAGCTCCACCACATAACACTGGGCATGTCTGTTAACACAGTTCCGTCACAATTCCCATCTGAAATATCTCTCAAGTTTCTTTACATTTTCTCAGAGTACAGAAGTGTTTTCCCAAAAATATTAATGTTGATGATTGCTGAGTGATGGTTATAGGTGATTTTGTTTTCTCTTTAAAGCACTCATTATTTTCCAAATGTTGTTACCTAATTTTTAAAGAAAATTCATAGTTATTAAACCCTTCAGAAATTGAAAGCCAGAGTTTACTTGATGAAGCCTGACATTTAGTGAGAAAGTGGCATGACGCAAAGCAGGCAGGTAAAACCCAGCACTGTAAATGGGGACCATGGGCCATAGACAAGATAAACAGTAGATTACTGGCCTAAAAGGCACCGCCAGAGCCAAGGAGATCCGAAGTCCACAAATACTGACTTGGGACGTCTCACTCACTGCCTCCTCCTGGGCGCTTCCCCTTATATATATATGTATGTATGTGTGTATGTATGTATATGTGTATGTATATACACATGTATGTATGTACGCACATATGTATGTATGTATATGTGTATATATGTGTATGTGCGTATATGTGTGTATATGTGTATGTACATATGTGTGTATATGTGTATATGCGCATATATGTGTGTATATATGCACGCACGAATGTCTGTATATATGTATATGTATGTATGTGTATACATGTATGTCTATATGTGTACACATGTATGTGTGTGCGCGTGTGTATACATGTATGTGTGTGTGCATGTATGTGTGTATATGTATATATGTGGGGCTTCCCTGGTGGCTCAGACATTAAAGCGTCTGCTTGCAATGCTGGAGACCCAGGTTTGATTCCTGGGTCGGGAAGATCCCCTGGAGAAGGAAATGGCAACCCACTCCAGTACTCTTGCCTGGAGAATCCCATGGACAGAGGAGCCTGGTAGGCTACAGTCCACGGGGTCGCAAAGAGTTGGACACGACTGAGTGACTTTACTTACTTACTTATGTGTATATATATATGCACACATGTATGTGTGTGTATGTGCATGTATATATGTCTCTGTGTATGTATGTGTGTATATATGTATATACATGTATGTATGTGTGTATGTATATATATATATATACTTATGTATGTATGTATTTAGGCTGCGCCAGCTCTTAGTTGCAGTATGCAGGATCTAGTTCCCTGACCGGGGATCACACCTGGGTCCCCGGCACTGGAAGCATGAAGCCTTAGTCACTGGACCACCTGGGAAGGACGTCAGGTGTCCTGCTTTCAAAGTGCCAGCCTTGTGGTCACTTCCTTTGCCTAGTAACTGTACTAGTTTCTTCCACTGGATCCCAGGCCCTGGCACCCGGCTGGAATATGGCCGCCCATCAACAGCACACGTACCAGGTGGTGGGGGTTTACTCTCCCACTCGGCATTTTCCATCATCTGCTTGGCTATCCTCTCGGCACTGCACTGCTCCCGTTTCTGCTGTATGAGCTGCTGAAGCTCAGTTTTACAGGTTGTGATCCGGATCTGGTACGTGGACGGTAAAATTGTACTACTTAAAACCTGTATTGTTGGTTTTCTATTTTGGACATTTGACACTTCTGGAACCTGCAAAACCAAAAGAATAAGTATCTGTGTCATAAGCAGTTATGTTTGATGATTAAAATGTACCCATGGTCTATTTATTACACCAGACTTTTGTCCTTATTAATGTACCAATTTTTAAATCCATCTAAATACAGGGACATATTTTTCAGTGAAAACCTAATTAAAATAAAGTTTAACCACTAATTCCAAGTCTCTCTTTTTAAAAAATTTATTAGTATAGCAATAACATTACACAAAACTCTTTATTAAGTGAAAAAAAGAGAATTTCAATTCATCAGTTGATTCAATTAAAACGTAACTGGCTAGGGAAGAGTTACCTCAAATTAAAAACTTACTTCAAACATTTCCAAGTCATGATGACATTTCTCATACAGAGCAAACTTGGGACTTTCTTCCCAGAAGTACTTTTGCTATCTTACAGATATAACTATGCTATATTAAATGAAGAATAAAAGAAGATTTTAAAGGTTCACTTCAGCCTATGACTAGAACCATAGTTCATAACGACGTCTTCACCCCACAGTTTCAGACCACCTTATTCGGTGCTTTCAATACTGGAATTCCCTTTGGCTGTGAAGATAAACCTCTCCTGGAAAGAAAAATGTCCTTCCTAAAAGACATGTCACTGTATTGATTTTTCTAGTACAGTACACAGCCTTTAAAAACCCAAAACAGTAGAATGAGATCCCCAAACAAAAAGCACACTACTGCCGGGATGACAGTACCTGCGGGGAAGCCGACAAAGGGACGCAGATCCCAGCGGAGGACTCGGAACGCGGCGGCTTCCCAGCCGGCATCACCTCCTGGTCACTCCCTTTAGGCAGGGCCTGCTGGATGCTCGGTGGTTCCAGCGAGCCAAACATGCTTTTCCACTCTTCATTGACATTTGAGTCTTGTTTGACATGTTTTCTAGCTATGAAAAAAGATCAGAATAATCTGAAGGAAGCCCCTATGGCAAATACGGCTTTTATTACTCTCTGCGTGTGCGGGGCGGAAGAAGGGGGGCAGCATGGACTTCATGCGCTATGTGCTCTTCATGAGGGCCAGTTTCTTTATATTCACATCTATACTTGCTGGTTCTCATTTCATCTCTAGGGCAGATAGACAGAGGCACTTTCAACAGTGTTAGTAATTAAACTGCTTCCTAGTTGTCCAAGGCTAGCTCAATTTCAAGGAAACACTTTACCTGAAGAACCAACAAAAATATAACTTTTTCAAATGTCACTGACTACACTGATAAATATGACCTCTCTATATCCAGAATCAGTTACATAGGGTGAAAAAAAGAAGAAATAAAAAGTCATTTGCATCCTTATGCATATTCCTTCACATGTCTGTCAGCGTTTCTACGAGAAATTTCCAGAACTGAAAATGTAAGTCAAATAGTAAAAAAATAATAATCATATTAATAATAGGTTCAATTTATAAGCTCAAAAACAGTGAATTTAGGGACAATGCTGACACACACGTCGTCAGTCTTCGCTAATCACAAAGGCAGAGAATGGCATCCTGTGTCTATTCGCATTCACTTCATTGTTCCCCTTTTAAATGTGTATTTCTATCCTATCACTTGTGTGTTCCAATCCTTCACTGTTTCTCTCTAGGGAGCTTGTGGTTTTCCTTATGAACTGCATGAGTGCTCTAATTTCACGGCTCTGAGTCAGGGGTGCCCACCCCCAGGCATGGACTGCGAGGAACCAGGCTGCATAGCGCATGGCTGGGTAGCCAGCGGAATGGAAACCAACCTCATCCCGCATCTGTGGAAAAACTGTCGGTCACTGGTGTCCAAAAGGCTGGGGGATGCGGCTGTCAGCCATTCAGAGTTAAGCTGCAAATACTTTATTCCACGTTTAACAGTTAGAGGTCTTTTCTTTTTTTAATGTAATTCATCAACTGCCCTCAAAATCTGATACTAGAATGTTGCTGTTATGTTGCTAAATCTTCTCTGACTCTTTGGAACCCCATGGACTGTAGCCCACCAGGCTCCTTTCTCCATGGGATTCTCCAGGCAAGAACACTTAAGTGGGCTGCTATTTCCTTCTCCAGGGGATCTTCCCAAGCCAGGGATCAAACCTGTGTCTCCCACATAGCAGGTGGGTTCCTTACCACCCAGCCCCCAGGAAAGCCTGATACTGGAATGAATACAAGGATTTTAAAAGGCACAGGAAGTGAGTGTATCTCCAAAAAAGGTTAAAAGGAAGAATGCATGAGATCTTAAACCCTCACACAATCAATGCCAATGTCACAAGAGCCAATAGTTTTAAATCTCAAAACTTAAAATCATGAAAATTCCAAGTAGCCTGGTGGGCTACAGTCCATGGGATCACAGAGTTAGACACCATGGTACGACTAACACTTTCACTTTCAAATCATGAACGCATCTCTCCTTTGCAAGACTATTCAATTCACTGGCAGTTACCCACTAGTAACGGGCTAGGAAACTTTACCCTCATTTTACATAGACTATTGATGTTGGGTTGGTGCTTAAAGGATTAAAAAATAAAATTCTGCCTTCAATCATATACTTCCACAGAGGCAAGTAGGCTCTGGAGTCAGACTTTGGACTGAATTCTGACTCCACACATGCGAATCCATGAATTTGGAAAATTGCTTAATTTCTTAACTGTAAGTCCACTTCTCCACCTTTCCTCCCCCAAATCTCCTTGCTATTAAATATAAATGGAGTCATTCACTCACTGTATTTGAAAGTTACGTATCTGAGGAAAGTGACTTCTTAGTTTTACTACTAAAACCTTATGAAATAACTAATAATAACAAGCTAACACACACACACACACAAATGTACTAACCTCGCTTGTCATCTGGTTCCTGTTTGGTTTTAACAAGATCAACTTGTCTTCCAGTTATACCTAAGGCTGCTAAATCAATTACACCTTTCTGACTACTATCATGGAGATGACTCTGATCCACTATATTGGCCTTTGCTTTGTTAGATTTCATCATGAAGTCTTTCAGAGCCAAAAGCTTGTCTTCCTCTTCCTCTGTCATTCCCTAGAAACAAATAAAACCATATGTCCTAGGTTATTTCTGCAAGTAGTAACAGGCCTCAAAATGACTAACAACTGAAGGGTCAAACCACTCAATTTAAAATTTAAGAGTGAGACTGGTAAAATGAAGCAAGCAAAGGCAAGGGAAAAAGAAATTATCAATACAGAACAACATTACTCTGATCTCCAAGGACACTCTCCCTCTACTGGGCATTTTCTACTTTGTATTGTGATTCATAACTTAACATTCTTTCTAAAAGGCAACATTCAAATATAATTCACCTTTGAAACCTCCAAAGAACTTAATACAGTGCCTGGTAGATCTTTAAATATATAACTTTTAATAAATAAACATCTAGTATCTAAAAAATTCTGCAAATATGAAGCAGAAGAAAGTGCATGTACGTGGACTTTGCCCCTAGACGTGCTGGGACACTGCTGTGAAGACACTCTGTGATACATAAAGCATTCTGAACGCACGCCTCATGGACTGACAGGCAAATGGAGGCAACACACGTGCCAGCATCCTGAGGTAGGATCCTCAGGTTCCTAAGTCAGGCAGCTTCAGTTCTAATTCCAGCCGCATTACTTACAATCTGTATGGCCCTGGGCAAGCCACCCACTTTCTCTGGACCTCTGTTTACTTATGAGGAAAATTACTAGCACCCATCTTAAAAGACTATCTTAAAACTTTAGTAAGTTAATCCATATAAGACAAAACGCTTCAAACTGACAGCTAATGAATACTAATTAATTTAAATAGTGAATTCAATGTGCAAAGTAAACATTCTGGTACTTGGAGCAGTTCTGCATTTTCTTAACTTTCCAACCTCCACCAACTCCTATAGAATGTTTTTATTATGCAAACGAAAAAATTAATAAAATGACAATTCCCTAAGGCCTCAACCTAAAATCCCTCTGAAACTGGAGCTTAAGGGAACAGTCACAATCCACTGGCACAGGAGGAAAATCAACTCGAGAAGTCAAAGAGCTAAGGAATAATGAAGCAAAATAACATTAAAGTATACTGCCTGTACAAGATCCTTGACAAATTTTTTCCAATATTAACCTGAAATTCACTTATTTACACTTCTCCTAAAATCTGCTTAGACAACGACACAGCTAATAGTTCTACTCTTTTTTTAGCCTACGTTTCAGCTCACAGGAAAGGACGGCTCTGCTTCAGTCCACACAAGGCAAGGCCAGAACAAAGGCTGAGTGGAGAGACTGCCCGACCATGGAGGAGCTGGAAACACATCCCGCTGAGCAAAAGCAGCCAGTCACAAAAGTTACATGCCGCACGGTCCCATTTACACGAGATATCCAAGACAGGCAAAGCCACAGAAACACAGAGCTGACTGAGTGGCTGCCGGGGGAGAGGCAAGTAGGGAATGACTGCGAATGGAGAAGGATGCTCTTCTCAGGCTGATGGAGATGTTCCAGGGGCGTCCCTGGGGGCTCAGACAGCAAAGTGTCAGCCTGCAATGCGGGAGACCTGGGCTCGATCCCTGGGTCAGGAAGATCCCCTGGAGAAGGGAATGGCAACCCACTCCAGGATTCTTGCCTGGAGAATTCCATGGAGAGAGAAGATTGGCAGGCTACATACAGTCCATGGGGTCCCAAAAAGTCAGACACGACTGAGCAACTTCACAAATTCTAGAAAATGTTCTAGAATTATTAGACAGTGGTGATGGTTTCACAACCTTGTGAATACACTAAAAACCACTGAAGTGTATGCTTTTAAGCACTAAATTTCACTGTCTATGAACTATATCTCAATTAAAAAAATGTTAGAAATGCACCATCAGACAACAAAGAAAAAAACCCTGACAAGGACAATCAGCTCAGTTCAGTCGGTCAGTCATGTCCGACTCTTTGCAACCCCAGGAACGCCAGGCCTCCCTGTCCGTCACCAACTCCTGAAGCCTACTCAAACTCATGTCCATCACGTCGGTGATGCCATCCAACCATCTCATCCTCTGTTGTCCCCTTCTCCTCTCACCTTCAATCTTTCCCAGCATCCGGGTCTTTTCCAACGAGTCAGTTCTTCGCATCAGGTGGCCAAAGTATTGGAGTTTCAGCTTCAGCATCAGTCCTTCCAATGAATATTCAGGACTGATTTCCTTCAGGATGGACTGGTTGGATCTCCTTGAAGTCCAAGGGACTCTCCAACACCACAGTTCAAAAGCATCAATTCTTTGGCATTCAGCTTTCTTTATAGTCCATCTCACACATCAATACATGACTACTGGAAAAACCATAGCTTTGACGAGTTGGACTTTTGTTGGTAAAGTAATGTTTCTGCTTTTTAATAAGCTGTCTAGGTTGATCATAATTTTTCTTCCAAGGAGCAAGCATCCTTTAATTTCATGGTTGCAGTCACCATCTGCAGTGATTCTGGAGCCCAAGAAAATAAAGCCTCTCGCTGTTTTCATCATTTCCTCATCTATTTGCCATGAAGTGATGGGACTGGATGCCATGATCTTAGTTTTCAGAATGTTGAGCTTTAAGCCAGCTTTTTCACTTTCCTCTTTCACTTTCATCAAGAGGCTCTTTAGTTCTTCACTTTCTGCCATAAGGATGGTGTCATCTGTATATCTGAGGCTATTGACATTTCTCCTGGCAATCTTGACTCCAGCTTCTGCTTCATCCAGCCCGGCATTTCACATGATGTACTCTGCATAAAAGTTAAATAAGCAAGGTGACAACATACAGCCTTGACGTAGTCCTTTCCCAATTCGGAACCAGTCCGTTATTCCATGTCCAGTTCTAACTGTTGCTTCTTGACCTGCATACAGATTTCTCAGGAGGCAGGTAAGGTGGTCTGTTATTCCCGTCTCTTGAAGAATTTTCCACAGCTTGTTGTGATCCACACACTCAAGGGCTTTGGCGTAATCAATGAAGCTGAAAAGTAGATGTTTTTCTGGAATTCTCTTGCTTTTTCAATGATCCATCGGAGGTTGGTAATTTGATCTCTGATTCTTCTGCCTTTCCTAAATCCAACTTGAACACCTGTAAGTTCACGGTTCACATCCTGTTGAAGCCTGGCTTGGAGAATTTTGAACATTACTTTACAAGCTTGTGAGAGGAATGCAACTGTGTGGTAATTTGAACATTCTTTGGCATTGCCCTTCTTTGGGATTGGAATAAAAACTGACCTTTTTCATTCCTGCAGCCCCTGCTGAGTTTTCCAAATCTGCTGGCATATTGAGTGCATTTGTTCACAGTGATGCATCCTAAGGCCCACTTAACATGGCACTCCAGGATGTTTGGCTTCAGGTTAGTGATCAAACCATCGTGGTTATCTGGGTCATGAAGATCTCTTTTGTATTGTTCTTCTGTATATTCTTGCCACCTCTTCTTAATATCTTCTGCTTCTGTTAGATCCATACCATTTCCATCCTCTATTGTGACCATCTTTGCATGAACGGTTCCCTTGGTATCTCTGATTTTCTTGAAGAGATCTTGTCTTTCCCATTCGACTGTTTACAGCAAAAGTGTAGTCCATTAACATCCCTCAGACTTCTGCTTCCAGCCATGATGTATACTAGGGACAAGATTTACCCTCCCACTTAAAACAACTTTGAAACCAGACAAAAAGTATGAGATGACACTTTTCAGACACTGGAAAACAGGAAGCATAGGGCAATGATTCCCCCAGATAAAGATGAGTCCTATGACTGTCCCAGCTTACTCTTTGGAGAGTTTCCCGGCCATGGCGTGAGGAGGGCGATGGTGGGGGGACTCAAATAGAGTTCATCAGAGCCATGTTCAAGAGACAAATCAGAGTTCCAGGAAGCCAAATGGCCAAGCATGGGGCAGAGCCCAGAAGAAGAGAGATCCCACGCCAAGCAAGAGCTGTGGTCAGGGCACCGCCAGTCTCCCTCCGAGGGCTGAGCTACAGGCATGTGAACACCAACACCCAGGAGCCAAACAACCCCAGAGCTGACACAGGGCTGGGGACCACTCACTCTGCTCCTACCAGCTGGAAGTGAGAGACCGCTGACCACACAGAGCATCATGTCCTCACAAGTCCCTAGGAGTCGAGCTAAATAAAGGTTGCTCTGGATCTCTCCTAACAAAGCTCGAAACCAAGGCTTAAAATCATCAAACCAACTCCAAATAACTTTAACTGTAGAAAAAATCCAGCACTATACAGCCATCCTCAAGACCCCACACATAACAAAATCCACAGATGCTTGATCTCCTAGATAAAATGGCAGCACAGTATTTGCAGGGAACCTACAAACATCTTCCTATATACTTTGGTTTTTTTTTTTTTTGGAATATACATAGAATATTATTAAGCTTTAAGAAGGAAGGGAATTCTGACACATGCTAAAACATGGATGAAGCTTGAAGACATTCTGCTGAGTAAAATAAGCCAGACTCAAAAAAATCTCAGAATACCTAAAATAATGTAAATATTACGTAAAAAGTTGTAAATACAATGTAAATAATATGCAAATAGTTACTAGCATGAGGCAAATTCAAGTTTTGCCTTTTGGAACTTTGCGGAATTTTTTTTTTTTTCCGACCCACGGTTGGTTGAATTCATGGATGTGGAATGTGTGGATACAGAGGGCCGACTGTGTAGTGTAAAGGGATTCAGCACCAAACAGTATAAAATTCACCATCAACAGAGAAAGAAAATGGATGGCCAGGAGTCAGAGATTAGATGAAAACTTACATTTTATGTATATCTTCTTATAGAGCTTTTCAATTTTATACCATGCATCTATACTACCAAGTCAAAATCTTTTTAATTAAAAATATGTAAAAGTTTAAAATGTAAATTAAAGTATCTGTACTAGTATCTGTTTAAATGAATATGAAAAAAACAGGGAGCTCTCTCAGATGAGATCAATCTAAAATAATCCTGACATGTGTTACCTCCAGATGGGAAAGCCTATTGAAAATCTGGAGTACAGGCAGATTTCAACTCCCACAGAGGTAATGTTCCAGAAGTGTACTTTAAGTCTATTATCTGGTGCTCTGTCAGAGAAACAACGCTAGGCTGCTCTGGAAAGGCCTATTTCACTCACCCCTATCTCAAGTGTCCTCAAGAGGTCCTACAGAAAAGAACACTGAAGAACCCCAAGCCAAAAAAAAACAACAATGCTGTAGGAGAGTAAATTCTGCAGCGGCTAAACACACATGTCTCCCCTCTGTATTCCTGACATTAGGACAAGGACTCAGTTCCCACCTTCAAAACCTCCTCTGGCTCCAGGCCACTTCTGGTACTTCTGGCCACTTCCCAACAAACTCAGTAGCAAAGGGACCGAAAAGGAAAAGCAGAGAAAAGGCTTGCAAAGGGCTGGAAGAGATGAGCTGCCCAGGGGCCTCTTCCTCAGTCCACATAAAACCCCAGCGAGCCTTTCAGCTTTGGCTCCCTATCCTCTGGGCATTTTGAGAGACAAGATGGCACTTTGTGGGGGGCGGGGGGGTCGTGTGTAGAGTGAAGACAGGTTCAGGGTCCAGCACTAGCTTTGAAACGTAATGTTCACTAACTGTGCGCACCGGATCTTAGCTGCCCTCACTGAGCCACAGGTTCCTCATCTAATAAAATGATGCCAATACCTACTCGTCGAGCTTATCTCAAGGACAGGCAGAGGACACAGAAAGCAGACTCCCTGCGTGTTCTCAGACCGGGGAAGGCAGTGTTGCGCTGCTACCGCTGAGCGCCTCAGGGACTCGAGCCTGCTGTCCCCTCCAGCAGCGGCACGCAGCCCTTGAGGCCCAGCATCCTTGGCCCTGAGGAGTCTCCTGAGACCATCTGTGACTAGTCTCCTAAGATTATTCACAGAAACAGCATAGGACAGGGGACTCCGTGCTCCCCGCTTCCACTCACAGAAAGGAGAGACGAGTGAGGACCTCAAGCACTGAGGCTCAGGAATGCAAGCCAGTGAGAGGGCAGTGCTTTCATCAGGACCCCAGTGACGGGGGCTGGCACCGGGGGAGCAGCAGGGCCCTGGGGCTGGGAAGAAGAGCAGCAGGACACAGAAGGGCTACTGACGCTGCCCCTTCCCTCGCAGTGGGAAACTGTACCCGTGGCGCTGGGAAACTGACACCCACGGCAAGGTGAAAACCAAGTATTAGGAGCTAAGGTGGTTCCACAAAATAACTAATGACTTACACAGAAGAGAAAACTTCCGTATAGAACAGTTCAACTTAATATACAGGATTTGCACGGAAGAGAGAAAATACAAAGGAATCATACTATTCGAGCGCCAAGAAACATCAAAATTGGAGAGGTTTTTATTGCAAGCTGAAATCTTTTTGATAAGAATTACTTGCTCAGGAGAAAGAATTGGAAAATGTGATTCAATATTCAATTTTCCATAAACTGGAAAATATATCTAATGTACAAGCCAAGGTTAAAAGAAAACTCAAAGAAACAAGCTCTCTGGCAATTCAAGTCACACCAAACTGAAGTTCTCTGAAACACAGGAAACAGAACTGCTGGCTTAGAAGGGACGTTCAGAGGCAGCTCAAGTCTCCAGATAAAGTTAGACCTCAAAGAACCAAGAGGGTTATTCACCAGCATCCCACGGAAGCCTACTGCAGCATTCAATCACCCAAACCAACATCTGGGCATCAGACAGCACCGGATGCTCAGTGACAGGCATCACTGTGACAAGGGATTTAGCGCCCAGAGCTGACTGATTCTCTCTCCGCAGCAGAGGTGCTTCCTCATCTTTTTTTCTCTCAGACGAGATAATGACTGATACTCATGCTCTTAACCATCACGTCCCACAGACTTAAAGACACTCATTAAAGGCAACCCCAAGTATTCACTTTAAGGCTCGCAGAACATCTTTTCAGAAACCGTAACCTTTATTTCTAACCAGTTACATTCCTACTTTGTCTTCTCTAGGATCCACACACCCCCTCTAAAACAGGATGCTGAATCTAGATTTAAATAATGCCAAGCATAATAACAAGGATTCCTAGTTCTAATAAGATTTTAGGATTCAAATCCACAGATTTCCAAGATATAGCGGTAAACTACTGGTTTATTCAATCTAAGACACATTATAATAAGTCCCAGCATTTTAGCTGTTTGCATGTAGTGAAGACTCTAAATTTGAGCTGAATTAAACCAAGATTTTTCTTTATTGCATTTGTGTTCTGTAATTTTTTTTCTTTCTTTATATTTTTGATGAAATATGAAATACAATCAAGAGTATTACTTAAATCTAAGGTTGTATCTACTTTTCCCCTTGTTTACATAGCCAGTAACCACAAACACACTTACTAGGTCTCCCATGATTCCTTATTTAACTCAACCCAGTGCCTTATCATCATCACAGCATGCCTTAGATATCAAAGCAAATGCACATCTGCCAGATTTTTTATTCATTTGCTATGCTACAACTTAATCAAAAAAATTTTTACACACTAGATGTATGCTGCCAGGTTTTTATAAAATCTGCATTTAAATGTAAGATTTCGGAAAGGCGATATTACCTGGGAGAGCAGTTTCTTCAGAAGCTGTGCTATGGCAGGATCCTCGGGTGGAGGGCAGTCAGGAAGAGACCCCTTTCGCTTCTTCTGACGCATGTGAAGATGTCTGAACAAGCTAGTAATATCTTTAGACCTCAAAGCATAATCAAATATAGAACGACTTACTGGCTCTTTTAAAACACTGAGTAGAACAAGTTTTCTTTCAATCTATATTAGAAAAACAAAAAGAATCAGCCAAAGATATAATATACAGTACAGCTGTTTTCAAATTCAATACATATAACCTGTGTAAAGTTAACATAGGTATTCATTTTCTAAGAAACTAGGAGATGTCAACATCTGCAACTTTTGCTTAGAAGAAGCAGAACACCAGCGACCTTTAGAGAGCGAAGGTGCCTCTCACTCGTTGTCAGCATCTGAGCGTGCATCTGTGTCTATCATGCTTGAATATTGCCAGTGTCCAGACTAGAAACGTTCAGAGCCCGTTGTCTAGATCTCAAAACGTCAGGTGACTTTCCAGATCTACGGAGTATCTGCAGGTCACAGGTCTAACAGCCAAAAGGTTCTAATCCAGGGAAGATGCTCAATAGCCACAGGGCCGCCCTTCATCAGCTTTCCCCACCAGCTTCAACCACTTCTAGAAACATTACTCTCTCCAGAGTTCTTAAAATCTTTTCTTTCTTAATCCCCAAGAATATTCTCCTTGTCAATGCACTTATAATAAAAGGGGTTAGTTAAACAGTAACCAACAGGACTTTTTTAGATACATTTAACTACCTGGTGAGTTGGCCAATAGAAACCAGCATAAAAAGGTATCTTTTGTCTAATCAAAACTGCAGAAAAGTAAGAATTGTGAAACATATAGATAAGCAGTCTCTCAACTCCTAAACCTGGCCTTTCAAGATACAAAACAATGATAAAAGCAAAAAGTAACACTAATAACAATTTCTGAGAAACAAGGGGAATGGTGCAGATTTCTAACAAACCATGTAAATATCACATTTATTTTAGTAAAACACAACTAAAAGTTACTACAAATGTATGCAATTTTTCAATCCCAGAAACACTTCTTTCTTTCATTAACAGTTTAATAGCCAAACTTCTACGGCTCATAATAGAATAAGTAGTCAAAGCAGTAGGGATCACTAGACCTGTTTCTAAGAAAGCCTTAATAAACTTCCAAAAAGGAGGATGTATTTTTAGCAATATTATCCATCTTTCACAGATATATAAATTGTTCTCAGAATGAAAATTTTAATTTACAAACTCTATGAAAGAAAGAATGATGATCCTCCAAGTTGGATTAATCTATTATGAAAACTAAAGACTGAAGACAGTCACAGCTACTTATTTGCAGAGGATATCCAAGGCCATTTTCTCCAACCATAGGGAAGGCACACTGGGCTTATAAAAGTAGGAGAAAGCTAGAGTGGAACAGGAAATTGCAAAAGAAAAACAGGTATTTTAGGCTGTTTTACCAGCTAGAATCCTCTCAACAGTCCATTCAATTTAAATGCCTATCAATATTTTGATAGTTGACTGTCCAACACAATGAAGGGTACAAACTCTGACAAGGTGGATAAATAATCGCTTTGCATAAACCAAAGACCCGAAGTTTATCAACAAGTGCTACACCGCTTGGGAGGGGGGAGCAAGAGTCAGTGGGCATAGATTTTAAAAAAAAAAGAAAAGAAACCAGAACCAGGGAGTGCTCTGAAAACCAACGTCTGAAAAAGCCTGCTTCCAATTGATTATATATGTGGACCTGGGCTGAAATCAGCTATACTTTTATAACAAAAGCAGGTCCATCAATATGTATTTCCGCTGCACTTCCCGTAGCAGCAGACGCCTCAGACACCGCACAAAGGAGCAGGTGAACCACTGAGGGCTGCACTGCACACCACATGCTCGACCGCGTAACAGCTCCCTGGGCTTCCCTCACCTTCCGGAGCGCCTGTTCATTAACATTACCTACCTTGAAAGAAATAGGAAAATTCTATAGTCCAATTTAAATCTTTACAAGTTTAAATAAAAACAGGACTCTCCAGACCTTTTTCTTAAAGGGGCCCAGTTGGAAGGGAGGTTTGATTCCAAGCTGGAACATGCGTACCTGTATTATTGGTTGAGTAATATATGGGTCAAGGTAAGGCATCAGTTTGCAGTAGACATCAGCTGTGCTTATTTGGTGAGCTACCACGGTGATAAATCCCACAGCGCCATAGCGTATCCATAGATTAGGATGACACAGAAAGGGGGCTAAGAGGAAAAAAAAAGGCATGGATTAAACCATGTTCATAAAGAGTTTCCCACTATCAAGATACCATGTTCATAAAGAGTTTCCCACTATTAAGATAAACAAATTCTTACCTTATAACACTATCGACAAAGGGATTATAGCAAATGTTACCATCAGGTCGCCTCTGATTGTCCTGGGACATACACTGAACCAGGTGAACATACTGACGTCATGACATTACCGACCATAAGTATGAACAACGCCATAGAGAGTAAAAACAGTCACCTCTTTCCTCGGAATTTAAACTGTTATATTTTCAGTCAGGGCTGAAGGTGAGGGGACACACACTCATTTAAGAGGCTGAGTCAAAAACTAGTGGACGGGGATGTGAGCCCCAACAGTACATGGCGAACTGTTACCCCCCCCCATCTAATCCACCTCACAGAGTCCAAGGACGCAGCATCCACCACATAGAGGGCAAGGACACTGCGAAGATGGCTCTCCTCCAAGTCATGGCTTGGGTTAAGGGAATGATTTCACCTCACTGACATTCATTTAAATGCAAAAGTCTGATTGTATGAAATACAATACTCATGAATTCATTCACAAGGCAATATGAATTGAGGCTGAAAGGCAGAAAACATACGCTGCCCATTGTTAAAGAGTTAAGATGTAAGATTAAATCACAAAATTAAATGAGTATCTTTTCACATCTTTTAACTATTTTTTGTACAACACCTAAAGTCAACGATTTCAACTAACTGAAGATTCAGGATAAAATTCAAACAGCTAAACTAACTGGATTTAGAATAAAATTCAAACTTCTAAAAACAAAAACCAAACAAACAAAAAAACCAAAAAACTTAGTTCTGAGGATACAAAGACATCAGCACTGAGGGAATACTGACGCCATAAGAAACTCAGGCTAAACCACTACAATATTGTAAAGTAATTAGCTTTCAACTAATAAAAATAAATGAAAAAAAGAAAAGGAAACTCAGGCTAACAGAGAAATAAGAATTCTGTCACCAGGATGTCGATACTAGGTGGAGTGAGATGCTCCCTTCATCTCTCCCCTTTACTCTACAATCAGTACAACACCAAAAACTCAACAAAGGTGCCTCTGTCCAACATGACCAGGTGTAGAATTCCACTTAGCTAGACCTCCAGAGGTGGGGGGACCGGAGCAAACGGGGAAGGTGGGAGCAGGGAATACACAGTGGTGACAGCAGTCTGCCCTCCGCCCATGGCAGCTGAGCCGGGGCCCCAGAGGCAGCGGCTCACGTAGCCCTGGCCTCCCTGCAGCAGCACCAACAGCCTCTGGTGACCAGGCATCACCCCGACAAGCCTCCGGTGACCGAGCAAAAGCGGGCCTGGGACCCCGCCCCCCCAGTCACAGAGGCGCCCACACCTCCAGCCACGGCAGCAAAGCCCTCAGAGCTTGCAACAGCAGGCCTGCCAGAGATGGCCCCGTGACCCCAGCTCTTGCCCACCCTCCCGCTCTTCCTGTGACTGACACCTGGGACTCAGGAGATGCTGCACGTGACCAAGGGCCCGCTGTCCCGATGCCCCAGCAGGGACGCCAGCAAGGGCGGAGCATGCCGCACACCAGCCCCGGGGCGCGGGCAGCGATCGTGAGGTCACAGGCTACACCTCTAAGAGAGGCAGCAGACGGTGCAAACCTCGGGCTCCTAAATACAACCAGAGGCAGCACAGACAAATGAACTTTACAAGTTAGGCTACAGTGCCACCTAGCGGACAACAGAGAAAGACTACTCACTTCTAGCCCGGTGAATCGGAATCAAGAAGTGTTCACCATTTCCAAGGCACAGGAAGAGAAACACCCTATCAAGCACCTTGAAGAAGAGCAGGAACATTGTGCCACAAAAAGGAAATGAAAATTTTCCAGAAACTAAATCACTGAATACAGGGATCTGACAGACAATTCCAGACAGCCATCATGAGGAAACGCAAAGAGCCACAGGAAAACTCACAGAGGCAGTCCAATGAGCTAAGGAATGAAATGAATGAACAGGAGGAACAGTTTACCAAAGAGAGTACAATGCAAAAAAAAAAAAAAGAAGTTTGCGCTCGTGACTCTGTCAGCGAGCAAGGATGCTTCTGAGAAAGCAGAACGGCACCAGCACCCGAGAAAGACCAGCCCCTTCAGTGACCATCCCACCCAAAGGGTCAGAAGGCATCTTCTGAGGTCTTCCGGAGCCCCGCATGGGGCTCAGCCTCTGCGACTGCGAGGAGCCCGCCGAGGTGCGCGAGCAGGCAGGCTTCCCCGGAGGAAAACAGGAAGTCTTTCTCCCAATTCACCAGAAAAACACTGACCACCGTCATCGCTGAGAGGAGGTTTCAGTGCTCAGGAGCTGAAACCTTTAAACAATCAGAGATCCCATGCCTCTAGAATGAGAACACGCCAGGAGCCCCTTGGGCTGGGACTGGCAAGATCCAGCCTGGAGCCTTTGGAGTGGAAGTACTAACTCCAAGACCCTAGACTACCAAAGAACTAACCCTGGGAGTATCAGATAGTGAGAACTCACACAAAGAAGACCACTTGAATACAAGACCGGGAATCACCCAACCACCAGTAGGACCCTGTGTAGGAGGCCTAAACAACAAACAAAACAAAAATACAAACCCAGTCATCAGCAGACAGGATTACCACCTCACTCAGCCCTGCCCATCAGAGGAAAAACAAACAAGCAAACAAAAACTCAGCACAAATCTCACTCTATATGAAGCTTACACTAACCACCAGACCAAGCTTAGGGGGGCAGAAAACAAAAGGAAGAAAGAATTCAACCTTGAAGCCTGGGAAAAGGAGACCTCAAACATAATAAGTTTAAAAAATAATCATGAGAAGGCAGACAAATATTACACAAATGAAGGAACAAACTTAGAAACACAGAAGTCCAAATAAAGGAAGAGGAAACTACAAATCAAAACTACAGTAAGATATCACCTCACACTGGTTAGAATGGCCATCATCAAAAAGTCTACAAAAAATAAATACTGCAGAGGGTGTGGAGAAAAGGGAACCCTCTTGCACTGTTGGTGGGAATGCAAATTGATATAGCCACTACAGAAAACGGTATTGAGATTCCTTAAAAAAATATGACCCAGCAATCCCATTCCTAGGCATATACCGTGAGGAAACCAGAATTGAAAGAGACACATATACCTATGAGATGTTTTATATAAACCTCATGGTAACGACATGGACTGTAGCCCATGGGGCTCCTGAATCCGTGGGATTCTTCAGGCAAGAATCCTGGCCTGGGTGGCCATCCCCTTTTCTAGCAGATCTTCCCCACCCAGGGATCAAAGCCAGGTCTCCTGCATTAGAGGCAGATTCTTTACCACAGGGGCCACCAAGGAAGCCCATGACATCCCTTACATGTGGGACCTAAAAATAAATGTTTCAAATTAACTGATTGGCAGAGCAGAAAGAGATTCACAGACTCAGAGGATGAAACCATGGCTGCCATGGGGGCAGGATGGTGGAAGGCATAGGCAGGGAGTTTGGGGTGGATATGTACACACTGCTACACTAAAAGTGGATAACAAACAAGGAACTACTGTATAGCACATGAAACTCTGTTGATGTTATGTGGCGACCTGGATGTGAGGGGAGTTTAGGGGAGAACGGATGCATGTATATGTATGGCTCAGGCCCTTTGCTGTTCACCTGAGACTATCACAACGTTTTTAATCAGCTACAACCCGATACAAAATAAAAGGTTAAAAGAAAAAAACAAGACCCAACTACATATGCAGCCTCCAGGACACTTACCTCGGCTCTGAGGACAAACATAGGCTCAAAGTGAAGGGATAGAAGACTCCAATTTACAGCCTAAACAGAAGGAATGTAGTCATACTCACATCAAGTAAAACATGCTTCAAGCCAAAAAAGGTAACAAAACACAAAGATGAACAGTATATAATGATAAACCAGACAATTCATCAGGAAGACATAACAGTGATTTGTATATACATATATATACATACACACACCCCTAATTCAGGAGCACCAAAACATACAAAACAATCATTAACAGACCTAAAGGAAGAAACTGACAGCAAGAGGGTAACTAGGGGACTTTAACACCCCACTTACGTCAGTGGATAGGTCATCACCCAGAAAGAAATAAACCCACACTTGTGAACAAGAGCACACAATACACAATGGAGAAAGGCCAGTCTCTTAAATAGTGTTGGAAAAAACGGAACAACTACCTGCACTCTCTCTCATTGTACACAGAAATCAACTCAAAGTGGATTAAAAGCTTGAATGCAAGACCTGAAAGCATACAACTACTACGAGAAAACATAAACAGTATGCTCTCTGACATCAGTCTTAGCAAAAGTCTTTAGATATGTCTCCTCAGACAAGAAGAACAAAAACAAATGGGCGACACCAAACTAGAAAGCTTCTGCACAAAAAAAGAAATCCTCAACAAAACAGGCAACCTACTGAGTGGGAGAAGCTATCTGCAAGTCATGGAGCCGATAAGGGGTTAATGCCGATATACACAAAGAACTCAGACAACTCAACAGCCAAAAAACAACCACCTGCATAATAAATGGGCAGAGGAGCTGAATTTTCCCAAAGAAGATATACAGTTGGCTGGTAGATACAGGTAAAGATTTTCACCACCACTGATTATAAGGGATATGTAAGTCAAAACTGCAGTGAGCTATCATCTCACACTCTTAGAATGGCTGCTATCAAAAAGGTGAGAAACACCAAGCGCTGGAAAGCATGTGTAGAAAAGGAAAACTTTTTTACACTGCAGAAATGGAAACTGGAGGACTCACTATGGAAAACACTGTAGAGATTCCTCAAAAAGTTAACAACAGAACTACCATAAGATCCAGCTACTTCTGGCTATTTGGTGTGCCACACGTAAGTGATTTATCCAAAGAATAAAACACTATTTCAAAAAGATATATGCACCCCTATGTTCATTATAGCTTTATTTACAATAGCCAAGATATGGAACAACCTAAGTGCCCATCAATGGATAAAGAAGTGATATAAAGATGTGATGGAATGCTACTCAGCCATAAAAAAAGCAAAATCTTGCCCTGTGAGACAACATGGATGGACCTTGAGTGCATTAAGTTAAATATGTCAGACAGAGAAAGCAAAATACCATATGATTTCACTTATGTGTGGCACACAAAAAACAAACAAAAAATAGTAAATGAACTAAGCCAAACAAAAACAGCATACAAATAAGAGAGGACACAGTGACAGTTGCCAGACGGGGAGGGGCAGGGAGAAGGGTAAGACGGGTAAAGGGGATCAACTGAATGATGGAGGACAGAAACTCAATTTTGGGGGTGAGCACACCGCAGTGTGCACAGAACCAGAGAGCTAATGCTATACACATGAAACCTGGATGATGTTACAAACCAGGGCCACTTCCATAAAAAATAAATTTAAAAAATAAGAGATGACTGTTTACACAAATAGGGCAAGAGAAAAAATTTGTTCAAGATATCTGTCTCCAAAGCTCTCCCATTTCCAATTCTTCTAGCTACACATGGAGGTGATTTTGGTTATTCCATCTACACCCTGCAGCTTCTGAGACAGCCGGCAATGGAAGGGCTGCTCCTCTAACAACAGAGAAAATGAGGGCTGGAAAAACACTGAAAAACCTCCAAAAGGTAACTCAACTCAAGACAACTTGGCAGAAGTCAGGCAGGAGACGAGGCTGAATCAATGGTCCCAGTCCTCTGTGTTACCTGTGTTACAGTCCCACCCTTACCTGGCGCTCACCTGTACAACTGGTCCATCTCTGCCCGCCCCTCGGCTGTCACAGCACCTGCTCTAGCCAATGGGATGCCTGCAGATGTAACACAGACAGAGGCTCCAAATGCGCAGCATAGTGAGGCTTGTGCCACCAGCCAGGACGTCACCTGGGCAGCTGCTTCCCCTCCGACGTGGCCCCAGGAGGAGACAGATACATTCCAGTTCCCACAGGCAGTATGGGAGATGCAAGGCCTAAAGCAGAGCCGCCCACAGAGCTCGCATCTAGATGCACGATGAGAACCTGACTGAAGCACTTCCTGAGATTTCATGGTTGATTAATGTACAGCATTATTGTGTTGGTAAGCAGCTAACAGATACAAAGAACCTCAAAGATGCCAAATACAAGAAAACAGAATCAAGAGGATTTTCTGTAAAATATCCAGTACATCTCCAGTTTTCTGGGGTCAAGTGGAGGGAAGGTAGCAGCTTCCCAGGTGGCTAAGCAGTGAAGAACCCACCTGCCAGGGAAGGAGATGTGGTTTTGATCCCTGGGTCAGGGAGATCCCTGGAGGGGCAAATGGCAACCGGCTCCAATATTCTTGCCTGGGAAATCTCATGGACGGAGGAACCCGGTGGGCTACAGTCCATGGGGTTGCAAAGACTCAGACATGACTTGGTGACTGAACGATGATGACAAGAGGGAAAGGTGAGTTTTCATAATGTCAAAGTGGTAGGACTGAGTAACATCAATCATGACAATCACCACCACCAACACAGTTCCCATTAAGAATTGCTGGAACAGACTAACCACACATAGTTTAAAGAAAGAACAGAGACATGCATACAGCTTATCATTTATTCTTTAAGTAGGTGTTTCTAAGTTATTAAAAGCATTTTTCTTTTAAGTAGTTCAAAATGCCAACAAATGATTATTTGCTTGATTTTTCTCAGCAAGGCTCGTCTTCATCCCCATAGGTAATATTAAATTCAGTTCTAGTTCCAAGGGAGTTCCACATCCAAAAAGCTCCAAATCCCATGTACCACACTGGATTTATTCTATACCTCAAGATAATTATTTTTACATTAAACTTAAGATACTTGAAGACCCCGACTAGAAACAGCAGGACTCAGAAAAATCTCTGTAGATTTTGATGAGAAAGGTAAAAAACTGTCTTTTATGGTAATTTTAGCTTGAAAACTGATGGACATCCATTTTGCAGATAAATAAAATGCTACTTATATGCTATATCAAATCTCGAAAATAATTTCCAGATAAGCAACAGAATATATTATGTGAAATTATAATATACAAGTACATATTTATATACAGAGGATTTTCATTAGAATAAAGACCATCAAAGTCAAAAGCAAGGAAAATTTGACCCTTAAGTAATGCCACTTTCACAGGAGAAGGAAAAAAAAAACACTGATGTGAGAAATGAGCAGGAAAATATTGCAGGCAGCAAGATATGTGTTAGGATGATACGTTTTCTCTTTAATATACTTATAAAAAGGGGTGCTTTCTACATCTGCCTTATACTACATAGGACAAGAAAGTCAAAAAACATTCTAACATCTTTGATTGTATTAATAATTTTTGCTTGCCAAGCTATTAGCTCTTTAAAAACTGAGGAAAAAAGAGAGATGATTCCCGCAAGGTTTAGTACTTTGTAGCTTACACAAAAAAATTAAAAGCATTTCAGTGTAGCAGACATTTTTAATATGATTACATTGCCAATACTCAAAACTTCACTATTAAATTTGTCATTCTTTTTAACATAATCATCAACAAAATTTCAAATTAGGATTACAGACTAAAAGAATGATTATAGATATTAGAGTACAAAATAAGAAGTGTACATATACTCAAATTTCCACAAATATTTTCTTTTAAAAAGCTATATTCATGCATAAAAACTTTCAGAAATTTTATTCCTCTACTATCTAACCATCTAATTTCAATAAACAAACTAATAATTCCTTTGTCTTTTTTCTCTGAGGATTGCCTCAAGAGAAACTTATTAATCAAATCTAATTAATTTTTGAGTTTTTATACATTTTTTTGGCAAAGTATTAAGCAGTAATAAAATATTTTATCTAAAATTGTCTAAGATTTCATGTCTTCTCAGTACAAAGTCAACTTGCAATCTTACATTGGTGACTTCCTTAAAATGAAGCAATGAGGAAACTAAAAGCTTCTAGTATTTTTACTTTTACAAAGGGTCACATATATCTATTTGTTCTTACTCTGAATTTTAAATTGATGAACACAGGTAACTATTATAAAGGCCAAGGAATTACCCCTTCACTGGTCAACAGAACTGCTAAAGCAGTGATGGCAGTCAGCACAATGACAGACGTCACAGACAGTCTTTCACACACAGTCTCAACATATCTAGCCATCAAGCGTCCAAAAACATAAGCTAACTCTTCAGATCAGTTAAAGATTTTATCTACATTGTGTTAAAAATAAAAAAATCTTCATCTTTCAAAGATCACCAAGACTTAACTACAGATTAAAACAAAGATGCATTTCCCAGCCTGGGCTGGAGAACCAAGGCTCCTGTGAGTGGCCTGTGTGTCACATACAACACGCATGCAGGCATAAGCATGAAAGAGCTGAAAATCTGACTCAAGATTGTCTAGAAATTTCACAGTGCTATCAATCAGTTGTAGCCATTCCCTTTCCCAGGGGATCTGCCCAACCCAGTGATGGAACTCAGGTCTCCTGCATTGCAGGCAGATTCTTTACCACGTCAGCCACCAGGGAAGCCCACATTTCTCTTACCACTCCCTAATTTTCCCATCCTAATTTTAAGAAGCAAAAACTTACCAATATCACTGGCAAACTCATAGACATGGGGTTTTTGCAGCAGCCCTAATTGACACATACAGGTAAGGGCATTAAGAGCTTTCACAATAACAAATTCCTCAGCATCACTAAGACCTTGTTGCAGCAGGGGTTTGAGAATTGAGGAGCTCTGCCAGCCAACATAGGCAGCGACACCTGAAAAAGAGAAGCAACCATACATGACTTTTTTATACCTGAAACTACAAATGTTATTAATGAAAGTGTTAGTTGCTCAGTCATGTCCTCACTCTTTGCAACCCCATGGACTGTAGCCTGTCAGGCTCCCCTATCCATGGAATTCTCCAGGCAAGAATATTGGAGTGGGTTGCCATTTCCTTCTCTAGGGGATGTTCCCAACCAGGGATCGAACCTGGGTCTCCTGCATTGTAGGCAGATTCCTTACCATTGAGCCACCAGGGAATAAAACGAATCAAAAGCCAAATATGTTAAGCAATAACCCAGGGAGAGACACTGCATTTCCTACCCAGCACAATAAATAAAACAGACCCACACCAATGCCAATCACCAAGAAATTCTGCGACACCAAGGGGAAAAAGATCCTATAAGCTTACAGAAAGAAAAATACAGATCCCCTAAAAAGGAAGTGGAATCAGACTGGCATCAGTCTGATGATCTTCAGCACCCAATGCAGGCTAGAACACAACAGGGCAAGATCTTCAAGATTATGGAAGATATTTTATACCCAAACTGTCAATAAAATAAGGATACAAAAATGAGTCATCGTGAGACATGCAAGAACTATATGTGGTTAACTCCCATGCAAACATTTCTAAGCAAGTTTCTCGAGGATGTTTTCCAACAAAATGAGGAAAAGGTAGAAAGACAAAATGGTAGATATAAACCAAGAATTCAAGGGGGGAAAAGGATAAGAGCCAGTAAAGACACAGAAATCAATCAGCGCAAACTAAAACTAAAAGTCAATAAACTCCAAAAATGTTATTAAGTAGAAAAACGGAAGAGATTATAAGCAATAGATAAAACTAGTAAGAAAGAAGCTGGATATTACAGACAGAGTGAAGAAAGTATATTTTCTCTCTAAAAGGAAAACAAAAAACTCAAACTCCAGGACAAAAAAAAAAAAAACTGTTCAAGAAAGTCAGTGTAAAAATGAGATAAATTAAAATGTACTGTGTATTTTGTTGTTTGCAGAGGATAGAAAAAAGAATCCATTGACCTGATGCTATAGACAGTCTCATCAAGTGATAAGAGTCATGGCATCAGAACTGTGGTGACTTGATAGGGATTGCATTGAATCTACAGATTGCTTTGGGTAGTATACTCATTTTCACAATATTGATTCTTCCGATCCATGAACACGGTATATTTCTCCATCTATTTGTGTCCTCTTTGATTTCTTTCATCAGTGTTTTATAGTTTTCTATGTATAGGTCTTTTGTTTCTTTAGGTAGATACACTCTTAAGTATTTTATTGTTTTTGTTGCAATGGTGAATGGTATTGTTTCCTTAATTTCTCTTTCTGCTTTCTCATTGTTCGTGTATAGGAATGCAATGGATTTCTGTGTGTTAATTTTATATCCTGCAACTTTACTATATTCATTGATTAGCTCTAGTAATTTTCTGGTAGAGTCTTTAGGGTTTTCTATGTAGAGGATCATGTCATCTGCAAACAGTGAGAGTTTCACTTCTTCTTTTCCTATCTGGATTCCTTTTATTTCTTTTTCTGCTCTGATTGCTGTGGTCAACACTTCTAAAACTATGTTGAATAGTAGTGGTGAGAGTGGGCACCCTTGTCTTGTTCCTGATTTTAGGGCAAATGCTTTCAATTTTTCACCACTGAGGATAATGTTTGCTATGGGTTTGTCGTATATAGCTTTTATTATGTTGAGGTATATTCCTTCTATGCCTGCTTTCTGGAGAGTTTTTATCATAAATGGATGCTGAATTTTGTCAAAGGCTTTTTCTGCATCTACTGAGATAATCACATGGTTTTTATCTTTCAATTGTTAATGTGGTATATACAGAACTAGAACAAATAATTTCACAATTTGTATGGAAATACAAAAAACCTCGAATAGCCAAAGTAATCTTGAAAAACAAGAATGGAACTGGAGGAATCAACCTGCCTGACTTCAGGCTCTACTACAAAGCCACAGTCATCAAGACAGTATGGTACTGGCACAAAGACAGAAATATAGATCAATGGAACAGAATAGAAAGCCCAGAGATAAATCCACGAACCTATGGACACCTTATCTTTGACAAAGGAGGCAAGGATATACAATGGAAAAAAGACAACCTCTTTAACAAGTGGTGCTGGGAGAACTGGTCAACCACTTGTAAAAGAATGACACTAGAACACTTTCTAACACCACACACAAAAATAAACTCAAAATGGATTAAAGATCTAAATGTAAGGCCATAAACTATAAAACTCCTAGAGGAGAATATAGGCAAAACACTCTCTGACATAAATCACAGCAGAATGCTCTATGACCCACCTTCCAGAATATTGGAAATTAAAGCAAAAATAAACAAATGAGACCTAATGAAACTTAAAAGCTTTTGCATAACAAAGGAAGCTATAAGCAAGGTGAAAAGACAGCCCTCAGATTGGGAGAAAATAATAGCAAACGAAGCAACAAAGGATTAATCTCAAAAATATACAAGCAACTCCTGCAGCTCAATTTCAGAAAAATAAATGACCCAATCAAAAAGTGGGCCAAAGAACTAAACAGACATTTCTCCAAAGAAGACATCTCGATGGCTAACAAACACATGAAAAGATGCTCAACATCACTCATTATCAGAGAAATGCAAATCAAAACCACGATGAGGTACCATTACACACCAGTTAGAATGGCTGCTATCCAAAAGTCTACAAGCAATAAATGCTGGAGAGGGTGTGGAGAAAAGGGAACCCTCTTACACTGTTGGTGGGAATGCAAACTAGTACAGCCACTATGGAGAACAGTGTGGAGATTCCTTAAAAAACTGGAAATAGAACTGCCATATGATCCAGCAATCCCACTCCTAGGCATACACACCGAAGAAACCAGATCTGAAAGAGACACGTGTACCCCAGTGTTCATCACAGCACTGTTTATAATAGCCAGAACATGGAACCAACCTAGATGCCCATCAGCAGACAAATGGATAAGGACGCTGTGGTACATATACACCATGGAGTATTACTCAGCCATTAAAAAGAATTTATTTGAATCAGTTCTAATGAGATGGATGAAACTGGAGCCCATTATACAGAGTAAAGTAAGCCAGAAAGATAAACACCAATACAGTATACTAACACATATATACGGAATTTAAAAAGATGGTAATGATAACCCTATATGCAAAACAGAAAGAGACACAGATGTACAGAACAGACTTTTGGACTCTGTGGGAGAAGGCGAGGGTGGGATGTTCTGAGAGAAAGCACTAAAACAAGTATACTATTAAGCGTGAAACAGATCACCAGCCCAGGTTGGATGCATGAGACAAGTGCTCAGGGCTGGTGCACTGGGAAGACCCAGAGGGATCGGATGGGGAGGGAGGTGGGAGAGGGGATCGCGATGTGGAACACATGTAAATCCATGGCTGATTCATGTCAATGTATGGCAAAAACCACTACAATACTGTAAAGTAATTAGCCTCCAACTAATAAAAATAAATGGAAAAAAAAAAAAGAACTGTGGTGAGCAATTGTAAATACAGTCCACTACTTGGTTCTAAAGTCAATAAAATTTAAACACTCGTGTAAATTATTTTGAATTTTCAGAATCAGTCTATACAAGCATAAGAGACTTCATTATGATTACAGAATTTAAATATTATCAACTATAAAAATGCAATTGTTAGTTGAAGTATCAACAAACAGAAGAAGCAGAAAGAAAGAAAATGATAAAAAAGGAATGAAGGAAGGGAAGGAGGGAAACACAAAATTCTTTGCAGTCCAAATCAGAAGACCAATTAAGAAAGAACTGAATTATTTAAAGTTATAAAAACAACAAACCAAAAATAACCACGAGAACATACTGATCAACAACTCAAAACAGAGTAGACAAGAGGGACCAGATTATGATATGAGTGAGTTAACTCTTCATCTGGCATAGAAAAAAGTCAAGAGATAAAGTATAAAGTTGATACTCCTAAAAAGAATAATATGAAAATACTATATAAGATAGCAATAGTCACCTGAAGATATCAAACCAGAACCACACACCAGAGTAAGTGCCTCTGGAAAGTGCAACTACTGCCTTTCATACATTACTTCTTATATTTTAAGTAATTTGCAAAAGTATATTTCCCTTATAATCGACAAAGAATTTTAGAATTGTTTTCTGTAGTAAAAGAAAAAACGCTGTCTAAAATTCCAGTGAATTATATTTAGAAACTTTACAAACTAAAACGTGTAACAAACTAAAATAGCTCAAAATATTTTGGAAAAGAAGACTGACATTTGGGGAGCTTATTCTACCAGATACTAAAGTTGCTTATAAATATATGATAATTAAAATATAACTATAAAGAGTATAATATTGAGTAGAGAAGTGAATTTAAAAAAAAATCTATGGAATAGGATACCTAGAAAAGTGACCCTAAAAAATATATGCATACAATAGATGATAATAGAAGCTTCACAAATAAATGGAAAATAAATGAAATGTTTAGTAAAGAGTGTTGGGAAAATTGGTTACATTCCTGAGAAAAACTGAGATTTCACCTCATACCACAGCCCCAAATAAAGACTAATTAAGCAGTTCATACTATGCTGTGCTTAGTCACTCAGTCATGTCCAACTCTCTGCAACCCCATGGACTGCAGCCCGCCAGGCTCCTGTCCATGGGATTCTCCAGGTAAGAATACAACAGTGGGTCGCCATGCCCTCCTCCAGGGGATCTTCCCAACCCAGAGATCAGATCCAGGTTTCCTGCATTGCAAGCCAGATTCTTACTTCTATTAAAAAAATAAAGCTTTAATACAAAAAAAAGACATACACCCAATGTATAATGAACCTAATTCTGGAATGGAAAAAGATTTAAGTGCAAAAGTAAGAAAAAAAAAAAATCAAGAAGGAAAAGATCAAATAAGTTGACAACACTAAAATTATTTTAAATGACATAAAAAATAATAGTCAAGTTATCTGAGAAAAGGTTATTTGCCATAGAAGTGATAAA